TACTGTGCTGTAAGAAATTATGATCATGAAGGATACAGAGAAGCATGAAAAGATCTACATGAACTGAGGCTTAAGCAGAGCCAAGAACATAGTGAGTATAATGACTGCAACAATGTAAACAGAAAGACCTCCCCCCCCCAAAAAAAAGATCAAAAGGGAAAGTTGCCAAATTATAAAGAACAAGCATTGCCTCAAAGAAGAAATATGAGAAAATATTCCCATCCCATCCCTGAACAAAGGTGTGCTACATTGCACATATTTTGGGATTTTTTAAATGTATTGATCAGATATGCTAGTTTTCCCCTCTTTTTTCTTTTTGTCTGTAAAATTACTATTTCTTATGGATGACTCTCTGGGAGGGTGGCAGGGAACACTATGGTGGTATTTAAAAAACCAAAGACATCAATGAAAATTTTTTTTTAATTTTAAAGATCTAGACTGAATGGTTGCAATGAGCTTCATTCTAATTGGACAGAGCAATATCCAGGTGAGTGCAGAGTTGGCTCTAGTCTGGTCTCTATTGCCAAAAGATAGCTAGGTTGATGAGCTTTGCAATTCTCTGGCTTAGAGAGAACAGCTGTTAACAATAATGGCTAACACCTTCTAAACATCTATTTAGGGTGATGGTTAATTGAAAGAGCTATTTTCAGTAAACAAGATGATTTCCCCAGCTGAGGAGTAGTGAAGATCCATAGCCAAGCAATAAGCAGAGAAACATTTTCATGTGGTCCAGATGTTACTGAATGGAACAATATTTTTTCCCTTAAGTTTAATATTTCTCCCCAATTACATGTAAAAACAATTTTAAACATTCATTTAAAATTTTTTTGAGTTTCAAATTTTCTCCTTCCCTCCCTTCCCTTCCCCCTACCCACCTTATTGAGAAGGCAAGCAATTTAATACAGATTATACATGTGCAGTCATGCAAAACACATTTCCATGGTAGTCATGTTGTGAAAGAAAACACAGACAAAAAAAACCAAGAAAAATAAAGTAAAGAAAATTATACTTTGATTTGTATTCAGACTCCATCAGTTCTTTCTCTGGAGATGGATAGCATTTTTCATCATAGGTCCTTCAGAGTTGTCTTGGATCATTGCATTTCTGAAAATAGCTAAGTCATTCACGGTTGATCAACACAGTATTGCTGTTACTGTGTACAATCTTCTGGTTCTGCTCACTTTGAATCAGTTCATGTAAATCTTTCCATGTTTTTCTGAGAGCATCCTGCTCATCATTTCTTATAGCACAATAGTATTTCATCATAATCATATACAACAACTTGTTTAGCCATTCCCCAATTGATGGAAATCCCCCTAAATTCTAATTCTTTGGCACCACTAAAAGAGCTGCTATAAATATTTTTGTACATATAGGTCCGTTTCCTTTTTGTTTTTTTTTTATCTCTTTGGAATACAGGCTTAGTAGTGGTATTGCTGGATCAAAAGGTATGCGTGGTTTTAGAGCCTTTTGGGCATACATGGAGCAGTAATGTTAAAGCCTACAATCTGGAGTTGTGAGTTGCCTTAAGTGAAGGAGCCTTCTTCACGCGTTCCTCTGTGAACCCACTCTTTACCATAGCTACCGAATGCATTGGTGGAAGAGTGTGATATGGGTTTACGTGTGTTCTTTGCATTTTGTTATTTGTGCATTTACCTTAATATATTAGTGCATATAACTTATTTTGCCTTATTATTAAGTAAATAGCTATGTTTCAGATCTAAAAATGTCAAAGTAGGTAGCTGGCTGTATAGATGGAAAACATATTGGATGAGGGCTTAAGAACTTAAGTGTTAGGTAGAAGTTTATTTCCTCTCCACAGGGTTACTCAACTAGGGCTATGTATCTGTATGGTGGCCCATCTCTGGGATCTTAGACCTGCTCGTGGGAGAGCAGTTTGGGGGAATGAGTGAAACCCATAGAAAAGTGGGACATTTAACTCCACTAGGCCTAGATGAGAGACAGAGTTAGTTGCTAGTAGTATAAACATTCCCACTGTTATCTGGTGTTACACAGTGGCGCTATTGAAAGATTTATTGTTGTTGTACAGTTATTTTAGTCATGTCTGACTCTTCATGACCCTATTTGGGATTTCCTTGGCAAAGATACTGGAGTGGTTGCCATTTCCTTCTCCAGCTCATTTTACATATGAGGAAACTGGGGCAAACAAGGTCACACAGCTAGTAAGTGTCTGAGGTAGGATTTGAACTTAGGTCTTCCTGACTTCAGGCCCTGTATTCTATCGTCTGTGCCAACCAGCTGCCTTATGTGCTCTAGCACATAGTAATAAGTATGTCATTGGAAAATTCCACCCACCTATTACTCTCTCATTACAGAAGTACAGCACAGTCCCTAGGCGTTTTTAAAAATAGGTTCAGAATCCAAATTAGGATGGCAGGGATGTTTAATCAGAGACAAGCTATAGCAATTGGGATTTTGCAGAGGGAAGTCGGATTTAGGCACCATATTCTTCTTAGTCATATGGTTCAATAACCAATCATGTTATTTCATCCAGAAAGGGACAGCAATGCTCCAAGGAGGCTACCCTGAAAGCAATATGTTTGACAGAAAAAGTTAAATGAGAGTCTGCTGGACCTACAGAGACTAGAGCAGAGATTAGACCGTAATGAAGCATGAAGAGGCATCTAAGAGGGTTTATAAGAAAATAGATTAAAAGAAGTCCAGAGGAGAGAAAAGAAATAAACAATTATTATTATTACTATTATTAATTATTATTATTGACATCTATAAAACAATTCAATATTCATAAACATTGAATATAAAATTGAATATAAAAATTCACTTTCCTCAAGGAAGAAATAAAATTTATTTTGTATAAACTTAGTATGAAGAGGCAGCTTAACAGGGTGGCTTGAGTAGAGCTCAGGGCTAAGAAGACATGATTCACATCCCACATCTCAAACATTCTATCTGTGTGACCCTGATCAAGTCATTTGATGTCTCAGTGTTCACTTTCTAAGACTGTAAGTTGCAGAAAAGGAACCAATCTTAATTGGCAGGAGTTTTCTCATCTGAAAGTCCCCAAACAAATAAAACAATAATGTGCTGGACTTAGGGTCAGGAAGACCTGAGTTCAAACCCTACATCAGACACTTAACTAGCTGTGTGATCTGGGTAAATCATTTTACCTTTGTCTGCCTCAGTTTCTTCATCTGTAAAATGGGGATAATCTAGCATCTACCTCCCAGGGTTGTCGTGAGGAGTAAATGAGATAAAGCATTTTGCAAACCTTAAGGCTCTCTATATGTTGCTCAATCGTTTTAGTCATGTTTGATTCTTTGTGACCTCATTTGGGGTTTTCTTGGCAAAGATACTGGAGTGATTTGCCATTTTCTTTTTACACATGAGGAACTGAGGCAAACAGAGTGAAGTGACTTGCCCAGGGTTACCCAGCTAGTAAGTGACTGAGGTAAGATTTGAACTCAGGAAGATGAGGTTTCCTAACTCCAGGCCTGGTCTTCTATCCACTGGGCCACCTAGCAGCCCTGTAAAGCACTATGTAAATGCTAGCTATTATTGTTACTGTTATTATCTCTTTTTTGCATGACAGGCAGTGCAAAAAAGGAGATAGCGAACTGGGAATTCAGATTCAGTGAAGACCTGAATTCAAGTCCCATTTCTGACACATGCTGGCTGTGTGACCCTGGGCAATTCACTTTTCCCTCTCTGTGCCTGAGCACCTCTCTAATTCTATGAAGTTCAGAGAAGGCAATGATTGCATTATCAGAGACCCAGAAAGAAAAAAGAAGGAAATATTGTATATATACTTATATAACAGTCCTTATTTATAAAGCACTTTGAAGTTTGTAAAGCATTATACATGTTATCTTATTTGATCTTCACAATAACCCAGTGAGATCAGTGCTATTATTAACCCCATTTTACAGATAAGGAAAATTAGTCTAAAGGGCAGCTAGGTGGTGCAGTGGCCCTGGAGTCAGGAGGACCTGAGTTCAAATCTGGCCTCAGACACTTGACACTTACTAGCTGTGTGACCCTGGGCAAGTCACTTAACTCCATTGCCAGTCAAAAAAAAAGAAAGAAAGAAAGAAAAAAAGGAAAAGAAAATTAGTCTGTGAGAGGTTAAATGACTTGCCCAGTATCAAATAGCTAGTAATGTCTGAGGCAGGATCTGAACTTAGGTCTTCCTCCTTTCCTCCCTCTAGCACCCCACCCACAAAATCATTTTCTATATATGCACATTATCTCTCTCTTTAGAAGGTAAGCCCCTCGAGGGCTGGGACCACTTCATTTTTGTCCTGATATTCCCATTGTCTAGTACAGTGACTGACACATAGTAAGTACCTAATAAATACTGTTAAAAGAGTGATTGATTGACCTAGGAAAATTGGAAGGCAAACACAATACATGCCCTATTAGGAATTTAGAGAATAGGGAAGGAAATAAGCATTTATGCAGCACCTACTATGTGCCAGGCACTATGCTAAGTGCTTTATAAATATCACCTCATTTCATCTTCACAACAATCTTATGAGGTAGGTGCTGTTATTGAAGAAACTGAGGCAGACAAAGATTAAGTGACTTGCACAGGGACATACAGCTAGTAAGTGTCTGAGACTGGATTTGAACTCAGTTCTTGCTGACTCTATCACTTAGCAGGGATAGTGGTTTGAACTCACAATAAGCTCATGAAAAGAATAGTTACTGAACTCACCTTTCTATTTTGGTGGGCAAGTAGGTAGTTAGTGTTTCATCCATGAGCTCAGGGCCCTGTTCTTTGTGGATGCCCACACTGTCCACTCAGCCCTCTCTCTTGACTAAAGCTCAGTTTCTCAGAGGCTTCGTTCACCCACATACCACATTTGTAACTTTAAACCTTTTTGCTCCTGGATATATCTTGCAAACTGCTTATTCCACATTCTCCAAGGTGAGCAAAGAGGGTGGAGTGCTTCTGGCACTCCCAGGGAAGGCATATAAGTAAGCCGTGCACTCTGGGACAGACCGTGGTGGGACAGCCATCCTAGGGGCAGTTCCCCTGACTGCTCACAGGCCCTGACTACCATGTTGTTCCTTACTTTTCTCCTGTCAGACCCCATTGGGATTGCTCTTCTGGGGGCTCTGCTCTTCTGGGGGCTGTTCTGCTTCTTCACCCGACCCAAAGAGTCAGCTGGGAAGTGGCCCCCTGGGCCAACCCCTCTCCCTTTCATTGGGAACCTTCACTTGCTGGATCTCAGAAGACAGGACAAGTCACTGATGAAGGTAGGACTGACCGCTGTCCCCTTCCAGGGACCAGCTCCTCTCTCAGTAAGACTCTTAGCTCTGGGGTTGGTGGGACTGGCCAAAGTGGCCCTGGGACTTTATTGTCTCCAGCTTCCTCTAGCCTGATGTGGGTGAGTGTGCTATTGAGAGGGTTTTGGGGGGAAAACAGGCAATAATTTCCCACTATTCTCTTCAACAAGTGTTTATCAAGGGTGTAGAGAACAACAGTAATATAATACCCTGAGTGCAGAAGAGTGAGAGGACATGGTTGGCTGGAGTAGCTGGGGGGAATCTTCAGAATGGAAGGGGACTGTACTTGAGCCCTGAAGGATCTGGTTATCCAGAGACAAAAGGAAGTGGGGTGTTGGTGTAGGGTTCCCCATTACCTCTTTTGTTGTTCAGTTGTTTCAGTTGTGTGTGATTCTTCATGACTCCATTTGGGGTTTTCTTGGCAAGGATACTGGAGTAGTTTGCCATTTCCTTCTCCAGCTCATTCTATAGATGAGGAAACTGATGCAAACAGGGTTAAGTGACTTGCCCAGGGTCACATAGCTAGTAAGTGTCTGAGGTCAGATTTAAATTCAGGTCCTCCTAACTGCAGGGCTAGCATTCTATCCACCTAGCTGCCCACCCATTACCTCTAGGATCAAATATAAAATCCTCTGTTTGGCATTTAAAGCCTTTCACAAGCTAGCCCCTTCCTAACTCTGGGTTTTCTTAAACTATTTTCCCCTCCACACACTCTACAATACAGCAACACTGGCCTTCTTGCTGTTTCCCCTATCTCCTGTCTCTGTGCCTTTGTATCCTCAGCACTTAGCGCACTGTGTGGCACATAGTAAATACTAAATAAATACTTGTTGACTGACATCACAGTTCAAGAGGGATGTAGTACAGGATGCAGTGGAAAGCATCTGAGATCTGTAGTCAGAGGATCTGGGTCCAAATCCTGCCTTGGACACTTCATACCTTTGTCACCTTGGCCAAGTCACTGGACTTCTCAGGACATCAGTTTCTTCACCTGTAAAACGGGAGGCTCAGATTAGATTGTTTTTAAGGTCCTTTCCAGCTCTGTCTATGACCTTATTATGAGCAAGTCTTCTAAGGTAAAAATGAGCATGATGCCTACCTGGACCAGTGTGGGGAATGAGCTTTTGGGGGAGGCGGGGGAATAAGCATTTATTAAGTACCTGCTATGTCTCAGACATTGTGCTAAGTAGTTTTCCAAATTTTACCTCATTTGATCTTACTGTTGAGTAGTCTTGGAAAGGGATCTTATTTCTAAAATTTTGACTTAGGTCTCTTAAGTTGCTTGGTGGGTTGTCTCTGAAACCATACCAATGGATCCACCATTGGTAGAGCATGTCCTTCCAAATGGTTTCTGATAGTGGGGATGGAGTTGCATTGAACTCTCCCCATCCTTTCACCTGTTTTCTTTGGTGATTTGTGGCAATGAGGAGCTGGACTCCCATTTAACAAGTCACAATCTCTCTGTGCCCCAGTTTCCCCATCTATAAAAGTAGGGGGCTACACTCAATGACCTCTATGGTCCCTTCTGGCTCTAAATCTATAATCCTTTGATCCTAATATCCCTGGCTGTGCATGAGACTAGCCCATTTGGCATATTCTCAGCTGGTGACTCATAATATCCTTAGACAAAACCATTAAAATCTCTTGTGACTTCTTTCCTTTTTTTGTTTAATAATGTACATTTACAAAGCACTTTTCTCACAACAACCTTGTGAGAGAAATATCGCATGTATTGTTATCTCCATTTGACAGAGGAGGGAACTGAGGCAACGAGCAGTTAAAGTGTCTTGCTTAAGGTCACAAAACTATTTAGGGTTAGATCTGGGTCTCAAAATCAGGTGTTTGGTTTCCAAGACTGGTACTCCTCCCACAACACTACACTGATGATTAAGCATCTAATGCAGTAAGGATACCAGAAATTAGAACCCTCAGGCAATGAACTTTTTGGTTAACTTAAATTTCTAGTCAGTTGAGGGTCCAATAGATAATTACTTCAACCTTTGTTGAAAATGAAGATATTTTAGCCTACTTTCCTACCTTAGTGAATATAGTGGAGTGGATAGGGCTGAATCTTGCTGTATTGAGTGAGGGTCTCAGCAAGCAGCTCAGGATTATTCATTCTCATTAATTATGGACTAACTGTAGCTGTAGAAAGTAGGAAATAGATACTACATGTAAATGTTGCAAAAATTGTTATTTAGTCATGACCAATTCTTTGTGACCCCATTTGGAGCTTTCTTGGCAAAGATTCCAGATCATTTTACAGATGAGGAAACTGAGGCAAATAGGGTTAAGTGATTTGCCCAGGGTCACACAGCTATTAAGTTTCTGAGGCCAGATTTGAACTCAGGAAGATGTCTTCCTTGATTCCAGGTCGAGAACTCTATCCTCTGTACCGCCTAGCTGCCCCTTTGAAAAAATTATCTTAGCCTTTAATCCAATGATTTTACTGTTGGGAATATGCCCTGGAAGTGTGTCATAAACAAATAAATGAAAAGAGCTATCTGTTCAAAGATTTTTGTATTATACGTGATTAAAAAAACAAACTGTCATGGAAACAAGTTCAAAGTCAGGTAGAGGAATAGTTAAATAGTTTGTGGCACATTCATGTAATGGGATACTATAAAGCAATCAGTTAATCAATGCACACTTATTAACCTCTAATAATAGTGTCTAATTAGCACTTACTATGTCAGCTTTGTAGTATGTGATGTAGTGGAAAGTGTGAGATTTGGAATCAGATGACCTAGGTCCAAGATCTACCTTTGTGACCTTGGGTAAGTCATTGGACTTCTCAGGACATCAGTTTCTTCACCAGTAAAATGGAAAGCCCAGAACAGATGGTATCTCAGGATACCAATGAAAAAGAAAGATCAATAGTATGTAAAATAAAATGAAATCCTGAAAAGCTTTTATGAAAGAATTTGAAGTAGGAAAGAAAACAGAACCAGAAGAGAGGACCACATACTAAGTACAACTAAGTACATACTAAGTACTAAGAGGAAAAATGAATGAGATTAAGTGGACAAAAAAATCCTAATGCAGGCTTAGAGGAAGAAATTGTTATGTTACTTTACCCACTGAAAAGAATTCAAAAGTACATAGTTACACAGCAAATTTAGTTGGCTTCATTGACATTTGACATTAAGCTTTTAATAGGGCATTTAAAAAAATGATAGGATCTGTGAGTGTACGTAGAAGGAAATGGTATCCACCAAAACAGATCAGCAGCTGTTCTGGGCAAGTTATAATCTTAGACTTGTCCAAGGTCCTGCAGTCAGTAGGTATCAAAGGTGGGGCTCAAACCCAGGTTTTCCTGACTCAGAGTCTGACATTCCATCCATAAAGCCAAATCACCTTTTATGGAAACATCTAAACTTTTTAAAAAGGGAAAGGAAGGTTAAGGTACTTGACTGAGTAGGTACTGAGCGCAGGGGACTCCTGTAATAAATCATTTAGCTTAAATCTTTTCTACAAATCTATTTTCTTGTCATCTATTTCTCCTTCAAAGCATGGCTCCATACTTATCAATCATTTTAGCCTCTAGAAGTAGAAGAAAATAAAAACATGTTAGTCTTTACTCTCCTTGTAACTCCTTATTCCAGTTACCTGGGGCCCAGTTTTTCAAATTTCTACTGTTTTTGTTTTTGTTTTTGTTTTTTTAAATAGAAGGTAGTATATAAATTAGAGGCAGCAAGAGAGTCATGGTGGCTTCCAGGTCAAGAAGAGCTGGGTTCAAGACCTGCCTCTGACTCATTGCTTGTGTGACTCTGGGAAAATCATGTAGGCAGCCCCTGGCAACTCTCTGAAAACAGCAATTACCAGTTTGCATTATAATATAATAGCAATTGCCAGCTAATAGTGGTGCAGTGGATATAGTGCCTGGACTGGAGTCAGGAAGACCTGACACTTACTAGCTGTGTGAACCTGGGCAAGTCACTTAACCCTATTTCCCTCAATTTCCTCATCTATAAAATGAACTGGAGAAGTAAATAGCAAATCACTCCAATATCTTTGCCAAGAAAACCCCAAATGGGGTCATGAAGAGTCAGACAAGGGTCATGACTGAACAACAAAAAACAAAAACTTACAATTTGCATTGGCTGGAGGATTTCTACCTGAAGTTCCCTAAATCAATGCAATTGCAGATCTGACCATAACTAATAAATCAATAGTGAATAGAGATTTGTCATTGAGTCACATCATCTGAGTTCATATCCTGTCCCAAACATATACTTGCTAGGTGGCCATGGGCAAAACACTTGATTACTCAATCCCCTCAGGCAACCCATGCCTCAGTTCCCCACACAGGTGAAATCACAGGTACAGTCCCTTCCCCCTGCTACCCTCCTTCCCCACAAATTATATGTGGCAATAGAAGAAGGGGGATGCACATGTGTAGTGAGGGGGTCTATATATTGCAAGGGGGACTTGTTTTTCCTCCCACTTAACAGTATTTTATTATTTCCAATTACATGTAAAGGTAGTTTTCAACATCCATTTTATAAGATATTGAGTTCCAAACTTTTTTGTTCTTCTTTCCCTGTTCTCCTCCTGGCCCCACAAGACGGCAAGCCATCTGTTATAGGCTATACATGTACAATCATATTAAACATATTTCCACATAAGTTATGTTGTGAAAAAAATAATCAGAACAAAAGGGAAAAACCATGAGAAAGAAAAAAATTTAAATAAGAGAGAAAATAGTATTTTCGATCCATATTTTTCGATCCATATTCAGACTCCATAGTTCTTTCTCTGGATGTGGATAGTATTTTCCATTATGAGTCTTTGGAAATTGTCTTAGAACATTGTATTGCTGAGAAGATGCTGTTACTGTGTATGATGTTCTCCTGGTTCTGCTCACTTCACTCACTTCACTTCGCATCAGTTCATGTAAGTCTTTCCATGTTTTTCTGAAATCTGCAGCTCATCATTTCAATAGTATTCCATTACATTCATACAATACA